TGTGTTCATTGCAGCATTATTCACAACAGCCAAGACTTGGAAGCAACCTAAGTGCCCATCAAGGGAGGAATGGATAAAGAAGATGTGGTATATATACACAATGGAATACTACTCAGCCATAAGAAATGATGAAATCCAGCCATTTGTGACAACACAGATGAACATTGAGGGTATTATGCTAAGCGAAATAAGTCAGAGGGAGGTCACATATGGTATGATCTCACTCATAAGTAGATGATAAAAACAATAACAAACACATAGAGACAGAGATTGGATTGGTGGTTACCAGAGGGGAAAGGGGGTGGCAGGAGGGTGAAAGGGATGATTAGGCATATGTGTGTGGTGATAAAGTGTAATTCGTCTTTGGGTGGTGAACATGACATAATCTATGCAGAAATAGAAGTATAATGATATATACCTGAAATTTATATAATGTTATAAACCAATGTTACCGCAATAAAAAATATATATATAAATTGATCTCATTAAGAATTGTTTATGTGTAATAATTATTAAAATCTGTAATACTTTTGTAATGTTATTTTGATCAACTATAGATGATAATCAGGGTAATGATAATTACAACACAGAACGTGAAAAATTAATCTCTTAGCACCTTCTAGTAGCAGAAAATTAATAATTTAATTTCAATTTACATATATGGGTATCAGACAAGTTATTAAAACATAAAAATACATAACATTAAAATAAAGTTCAATGAGAAAGAGATGTAAAATTTCTGACTATTGTAGAACTGCTTCATTTTAAAAAAATAAATCATGGTGAGTATCATGCTTTTATATTTAGATTACCTGGATACATTTAGTAGAAACATTCAGCAGTTTTATTTTAAAAAGTGAACGTTTAAAATACACAGGACGGGCCGGCCCCGTGGCTTAGCGGTTAAGTGCTCGCGCTCCGCTGCTGGCGGCCCGGGTTCGGATCCCGGGCGCGCACCGACACACTGCTTCTCCGGCCATGCTGGGGCCAAGTCCCACGTACAGCAACTACAAGGATGTGAAACTATGATGTACAACTATCTACTGGGGCTTTGGGGGCGGAATAAAAAAAATACACAGGAAACTACATTATTTGTAATTATTTGAATTTAAGATGAAAAATTTCAGATGTAAACTTATAAATGTCTGAGAAGTAATATAGTTTAAATAATAGTTTAAAATAGTAAAATAAAATAATATAGCTAAAAAAATTTTTTGAAGAGGTACATGAGCAAAAAAAAACCTCTGATGACTATCCAAACCACTGCTTCTAGCTTTAGGTTTCTAGAATTGGAGTGTTTGCAGATTGGATGAATTCAGATTTTCAGCTTCTTACTGAATGCTATCAGTACAGTTAAAGACATGTTATGTTCTAAAATATTGAACCAAAAAACAGTACTCATTTTTACACAGGATGAGGAAAAGCAAAGGGTTCTTGAGCCATAGGGTACCACGTATGAAATCAGTTGCCCAATTTATAAATTCTCTAGTAACAACCTTCTGAATCACGATGCATGCCAGGATTGAATAACCGCATTCCTCAGCAAGAGTTAAAATTATGGGAACTTTGAGGATCTGTTTCCTTCACTGCGGTACTTAGTTAAATTATATTATGTAACAAGAGTGCCTACACAGCGGTAAAATTATTGGCTGCATTATTAATATTACTGCAATCTCAGAATCTACTGCAAAAAGTGGAAGTATGTTATAAAGTGTTCTGCTGAACCAAATGCAAGACTTACAAAAAAAAAACACTGCCCTAATCTTTCAAGACCTTCAGACACACTTTAGACAAGTAGTAGTTCTAGAACATTAGCTACGGCTCCTAAAATACAGCATCTCAATTAAAAAAAAAAAAATCACTGAAAAAAAATTTACCGAGGTATTTAAAAATAATTGTAATAATTTCAATTAGTAACATTTCTTTACCAGCACAGATGAGAGAGTTCAGTCTCTAAGATGTGGGCTGATATTGATTTAAACAGACAAAGAAGGAACGCATTTCAGTAAAAGGAAGCGAGATCCTTGATTGACAGTTCTTGGAAAAAGGTTAAAAATTCAAAAGGAGTGACTGCGTGTGGCTCAGCACCTAAAAGCTTTTTTCTCCTCCCAACAGAAGAGCAGTCTCAAGTAATAACTGGTTGCCATGGAGATAAGAAACTAGAGAGAGATCAGAGAACTCAATTTGCAGTTAAATGGGTTGGAAACAATCCTCACTACTTGGTGAAGGAAAGCGATTAAAAATATACATGATTGCCAGAGGGAATTTTTTTCACCTAGCATTTCCCAACCTCATTAGTGAACAAGAAGTCTAAAAAAAACAAATGAAAACCCAAGGTGTCCACAGATCGAGCCCATTAAATATAAGTCAGGATTTCAAACATTATTACAAATCCTTCCTATTCTTGATTCTTTTTAATGGTACTTGTTAGTAAATATTGGAATGAGACGAAAATTGTGTTCCAGAACAAATCAGTATAACTGACGGGCTAGAACTTCAGTGGAAAAAATGAGCAGGACAAATGGAAAAGTAACCAGAATAAGAAACAGATTCAAGTAGTGAAAATCTGGGTTTTGAAAAGTCTCTTCACAGTCAATCACAGAATACCTTTATGAGTGCTGTAAAGGGCTGCAAACGTCACCGTGAAGAAAGTTGTGGAGTATTTGCCAGCATTAACTAAATGAGGAAAGGCCCTTTTTGTGTCTCGGTATCGGCGCAGGCACTGGATGAAGCGAAGCCAAGCAGGAATGCACTGAACAATGGCCCGCACACCATATGAATATTTGTGGCAAATTTCTGGTTCTGTGAATATTTCAAAGAAGAAGAAATTACAATTTAAAAAAATAACTTGTTCACATCATTTAGTCATATATGGCAACCACTAGCAAGTCCACAAAAGCAAGGAGCCTGGGTTTCAGAATCACTTTCTTCTTTGCAACTATTATATTCTCAAACTTTTTAGTGGTAGATAAGCCAAGGAGAGAAGGTAAAATATAGAGGGGGGATCCAGTGGGAAAATTCACCCTCTCAGATTTCTGCCTCTGTCCTAGAATCACTTTCTTTGAAGAGTGGTAAAACTATAAGAAAACTAGAAGATGAGTAAACTAATCAAAGGGGAAAAAAAACTGGTTAGCTCTGTAACTTGAAACATCTGGAAAACCTACAAATACCACCAGTGACTCCAGCCAATTTGATGAACTCCAAACCACCATAACATACCCACTATAGGTTGTTCATGTTCTTGTGCTCCTTTTTTTTGTTTTTTAAGAGTGCAGTTTTTATTTTTAGATGGGAGAATGGAGTTGGTAAATCAATTTTTCTGCAAATTCTGGGAATGTATTATAGTCGGATCAACCTACAATAGAGTTGTGATCTGCTGGCAATCAATGAAAATGTGTTGCCACTGCCTTCATTAACTTTTGTTAGTCAGATGTCACATAATTTGTCTAAATTTGGTCTTTGTCATTAAGGCATAATTCCTTAATAACTTGAACTCCTGGCATAAACTAAGAGTGGGAAAAACCGTCAGAGGAAAAATAAGGTCCCCAATAAGAATTAAAAAACAATCTATAATGATTTTCTCAAAGCACTTGATCTAACTCTAAATAATCAGTGTTTTTGATCACCATAAAGCAGTACTGTGATGGCAATTGTTGGCACCAAAGCATGTGTGGTACAACTACCAATGTACTAGAACATTTTTTTAGTTTTAGAATTCTTTAAGTATAAGTTGTAAATCTCTTGGCAAATGGATGGCTAAAATCATAACACACAATTTAAGAGCCAAATTATATCAGATAAAGAGATTGCTAAATAAGTGCCAAGTACATTTAATTAATTTTATATTATTATTGGATGAGTTTTCACCATGATCTTAAATTTCTCAGTTATCATTCCCAATATTTCTTGGTTTACATTGGCAGTTTAGTAGCATGGATGCACATTCATACCCTACCTTTTGGATCATTTGGCAACAGGCCCCCACTTTCATCCCATTTGAGCTCAAAACTGTAGAAGCAGATCATATATTCCAGGTCCATCAGTATCACTGACAGGCTGTTCAGCTGATCGGCCAGCCAGAAATCAGCAAAGCCTACCTTATGGAAGGGGGCTGTAAATACTCGAAACTGGGAGAAAGAAAAAAACCAGAAAACATAGAAACAAGAAAATTCATATTAAATTTCTCTAATTCATGTCTGACCATGCAGCATGATTACTTTAGCTGATAAAATGAAAATCAGTGAACCACTCACAAACAGAGGAACCTGGCAACAGGGGCTAGGTTGAGAATTAGAAGTGAAGGGAATGAGCTGAATGGATAACTAAGAAAGAAAATAAAGGGAGGAAAAGGGCAGGAATAGCTACAGTTAGAAAACAGAAAGCAGAGCGGTGGGAAGAGTTGCAGTCAAAAAGCAGAGAGAGTGGCAGAAGCACTGACAGGACGTCTAGCATTAGGCTCTACCGTAAATTTTGCTAGAGACCCACGTGCCGTGATAATTTCCGAAACATTCTCTCACCTTAGCTGGGATAATAGCTTAGCTAATTGAATTCAAAGCTCTTCTTGCCTACAATGGGTAGGAAGGGAAGGATGGTACATCGTTTGAGGCATGCCTTATTCTCTAACCAAAGTCATTTTCATTTCACTAATGTGATGATTGTATTTTTCTTGAAATTATGCCACAAAAATCAGCCCACATCCCGCTGTTATGAAAACAATGATAAATGAATTCAGGCTAAATGTACTGAGCACTAATCCATGTTGTGTATTTTTCTCATAACACATTTCTCATAATCCATTAACTACAATTCTATGAGCTGGATACTATTCACATCCCCATTTCACAGAAGACCTACAACAAACTCATTCTGACCTATCTGTGGAAGCCTGTTCACCACTACAAAGGGAAATCCTGGCATTGCAGAGAGAGGAAGGATTAGATACTAATGCAAATCACCAGAAATAGACTCAAATTGCACAGAATGCCTCGAGAGGCCTTAAGTGAAGTAAAGATGGGATGAAGGCAGCTTTAACCCTCTTCCTGTCGGACCCTTTCTATCTTACACAGGCAAAAATGGACTCCTAAAACAAAGAATTCTGACTAAGCAGCAGTTTTGAGAAAATGAGTGTAAGTGTGTAGCTCTCCTGCCATCTAGCTATATTCATTTAGTAGACATATTCAGCCTGGGAGTCTATGGCTCTATCCCCTCAGGCTTGGCTCATTCTTTCTATTCTTTCTCTAAATATTCCCTTTTATTATTTCGGGAGCTAAACAGTTATATTACAAATCAATCCTGGGTGTCAACTATCTATGACAGATATTGCCTTGGAGCTTTGGAAGTCAGACCAGTGGTCTATTGGACACAATAGAGGCCTTGAGACATTATTTTCTGCAGCCAACATATTTTGAGTCCATGGCTTGGTCTCTTGATCACTCTTACTCTTTCAGTAAGTTGTGCAATAAGCCAGAGACACAAGCTATACCGTTTGCAACCATAAGCTCCAGATGCAGCTTTGCAGGGGAAGGGGTAAGAGGTTGAGATGTTAGCCATCTATGTACAAAGAGGTTTTGGTGCCAGTTTATACAGCACTTTAAGAAACTCTAAGGTGCAGAATAGACTTAAAGGATTCAAATAGATAGGAACAAGAGGATAACTGAGGCTAAAACACCAAAGGATCAGAAGTCTAACTCAATCTCTGGTCCTGGACTTTTGTGAAACTGGTAGTCTACGGCAAATTTCTTCTTTCTAACTGATGTGAAACAGACTACTGTTATTCTCACAATCTGCAAAAACCAGCCTCAAAACTTGGCTAATACGGAAAACCTCCATAAGAGCAGAAGAGGAGGAGAATGCATTAAATAAGAAACAAAGACATAGAGGGATAGGACTGGAAAAGGAAGGGAATGGGATAAAAACAAAAACTGGGAGGAAGGGAAAATATACAGAAGAGAGAAGTTGAAAAAAGGAAGAAAACAGGGAGTAGTAAATGTTGGTATAATACAACTAATGAAGGAAAGAATATAATTATAGTCATTCATGCATTTAACAAAGACTTATTAAGTATTTACTACATGTCTAGCATTGTGGAGGTACAGAGACAAATAAGACAGTCTCTACACTCAAAACCCTCAAACACCTACAGTTTGGTTGGGCAAATAAATACCTAAAGAAATAATGATAGCACCATATAGTAAGTTCTATTACAGATATACATACAAAATACCCTGGGAATATAAAGAAGAGAGCAAGCAGCTTGGTCAGAGGTATGGTGAGGGGGGGAGAAAATAAACAGATCATACTTAACTCCCTGGCATTTACACATAGTCAAATTCATCTCAGATTTATCTGAATTCACCTGTTCGTGTGAGAATTCTCCTTCTTCCCTTCTTATTCTGGCTAAGGCCTGTCATCTTTTACCTTTTTTGATTTTTATTAAAATGGTAACAATTCACTGAGTAATAGTATTCAGATAGCTAGAGACAACTACGGCTATCTGATGTTTTAACTACGTCCATAAAAAAGTCACTAATAAATTATTACAAAGAATATATGCTAACATCATCTTCTAAGTTAATACAGATAAATAGTTAAGGAGACAAAGTTTTAATTTCTACTTTTGAGAGGCTTGTAAATAATTAGATTCTTTCCAAATATGATTTTTATATTCCATTAGTTTGATCCACTAGATCAAAATTAAACATCTTAGATAAAGTGACTAACAGGTCTAACTATTAAATGTTAGTGTTTAGGAGTACAAATTACAGAGCCAGACTGCCTGGGCTCATATCCCATCTCCATTATTTACTGGCTATGTGACCTTATTTAACTTCTCTGAACTCAGGTTTCTTCATTTATAAAATGTAGATTAATAGCAGCTCCAACCTCATGGGTTATTAAAAGGATTAAATAAATTAATACATATAAAATGTCCAGAACAGTGCATCATGAAATGAGAACATCTCTCTATTCTTATAGTAGAGATATGTGTAAAAATTTTACTATACAATTAAAGAAAATATTGGAAAAACTGATTTGCAAATTACATAGCAAAGAATTCTAATTTAAAAACTTCAGGGGCTGGCCTGATGGTGTAGTGGTTAAGTTCATACACTGTTTCAGCGGCCTGGGGTTTGCGGGTTTGGATCCTGGGGGCAGACCTACACACTGCTCATCAAGCCATGCTGTGGCAGCGTCCCACATACAAAATAGAGGAAGACTGGGCCTGCCCCGTGGCTTAGCGGTTAAGTGCGCGCGCTCCGCTGCTGGCAGCCCAGGTTCGATCCCGGGCGCGCACCGACGCACCGCTTCTCCGGCCATGCTGAGGCCAAGTCCCACATACAACAACTAGAAGGATGTGCAGCTATGACATACAACTATCTACTGGGGCGTTGGGGGAAAAAAATAAATAAATAAAATTATACAAAATAGAGGAAGACTGGCACAGATGTTAGCTCAGGGACACTCTGCCTCAAGCAAAAAGAGGAAAATTGGTGACGGACGTTAGCTCAGGGCCAATCTTCCTCACCAAAAAAAACAACAACTTTATGTAACCTTCTATAAGAATAAGTTGATATTTTTGTTTAGAAAATTTGAGGCACTGGGCCGGCCCTGTGGCTTGGTGGTTAAGTGTGCGCGCTGCGATGCTGGTGGCCCGGGTTCGGATCCCGGGTGCGCATTGAGGCACCACTTCTCCGTTCATCCTGAGGCCGAGTCCCACATACAGCAACTA